GGTAAGAAATCATTAAGGTTGAAAATCAAAAAACTGAAACAGAAACATCAATGAAACAAAAACCAGTTCTTTGAAAAGATCCATAAATTGATGAGCCTCTAGCAAGAGTGAAAGACACAGAGAGAAGACACCAAAACCCACTGTTAGGAACGAAAGGGGAGATATCATGGCAGACCCTCAGCCCAGCTGCCCCGTGGTCACATGATCTGGCCCTGTCAACGGAACAGGAGGCAAGTAATGTGTGCTACATCCCTAATGCTTTTAAAAAAATTTTCCTTTTAATTAATTCATTTATTTTAATTAGGTATATATGACAGCAGAATGCATTTTGATTCGTTGTACACAATTGCGGCACAACTTTACATTTCTCTGGTCGTCCATGATGTAGCATTGCACCATATGTGCAGTCATACATGTACCTAGGGTGAGGATGTCCATCTCATTCCACCATCTTTCCTGCCCCCATGCCTCCTCCCCACCAGCCCTCCCCTTTGCCCAAAGTTCCTCCATTTTTCCCATGCCTCCCCGTTCTCTTTACGGATCAGCATCCACTTATCAGAGAGAACATTTGGCCTATGGTTTTGGGGGGTTGGCTTACTTTGCTTAGCATGATATTCTCCAACTCCATCCCTTTACCTGCAAATGCCATCATTTTATTCTCTTTTAATGCTGAACAATCTCCCATTGTGTATATATGCCACAGTTTCTTTATCCATTCATCTATTGAAGGGCATCTAGGTTGGTTCCACAGTTTAGCTTTCCTTAAAAGAAATCAGTAATCAGGGTTTGGTGTTTCTGGCCTATAATCCAAGCTATTGGGAAGGCTGAGACAGGAGGATCACAGGATCATAAGCCTGGGCAACTTCATGAGACCCTGTCTCAAAAAATTAAAAACAAACAAACAAACATTGAAATGGGGCTAGGGATGTAGGTCAGTGGTAGACAATCCCTGGTACTGCAAAAAAAAAAAAAATCATTAGTACATTAGTACTTTTGTCCCCTCCCCTTTCCATGAGAGTACAAGGTCAAGAAGTTGGTGAAACAGTTCTGTCAGTCAACCGTCCTTGGATGAAGCCCAGTACTGAACCACCCTCAGGAACATGTAGCGGATCTTCTCACATCCAGCAATTTTCCCACTACTTCCTTGTCATTCCTGGGACTTGGGAATCCTTCTATCCCACCTGAGCCACGATGGGCCCAGRGACCTTCACAAGGCCATTTGGGGCCCCTGTCCATCATCACTATCTGACCATTTCCTCTCCCAGGTCTTATTCCCATGGTTGAGATCCAGCATGTGACATCTGTGTTCCCGACATTTCCTGTGATCCCATTGTTTTCTCTGAAGTGGCATCTGGCACCCTCTTCCACGGATRCAGGCCCACGGAGGCAGCAACGGTGGGTCCTGTAGGCTTCTTTCCCCCTCATTCTCTGATTAGTACTAATGGGAGAAAGGGAGCAGAGAAACACCAGGAGAAAAAGGTAGATTTGTCTATTTATCATGACATCACTGTCATCACTGTTGTCATGTCATCTCTCTTCAAGGCAGCAAGTTTTCACCTGCATAGGCAGAGCAGGGCCCCGACACCCCAGTCACCCGCTGGCTGAGAGGTATGAATCTTTCAGCAAACAAACGCTCAAAGAATATTTTTACTGAGCCCCTGTTGTGAAGGCAGTCATGTGCTCACAGCTAGGGGGCGTGAGGAGCTCATAGAGGAGACCAGCTCAGGGAAGGCTGGTGGGTGCCAAGAGTGGAGAATACAGAGCTGGGAATCTGTCTCCTTCGGGGTCCTGGCTCTGTCACCAGCAWTAGGCTGGCCATGAAGAATCTCCCTGAGCTGGGCTTGGTGATGCACGCCTGTAATCCCAGTGGCTCAGGAGGCTAAGACAGAAGGATCGTGAGTTCAAAGCCAGCCTCAGCAACTTCTGTGATGTCCCAMGCAACTTGGAGAGACCCTGTCTCTAAATAAAATATAAAAAGTGCTGGGGATGTGGCTCAGTGGTTAGGCATCTTGGATGCAACCCCCGGTACTGAAGAAAAAGAAAAAGAAGAAGAAGAAGATCTCTGAGCCTCAGTTTCTATCAATACAGGGGGAACAATGACACCTATCCTTCCTATTTTGTAATGAAGTGGTCTCTTTCTTTCTTTTTTTCTCTTTGAAAGGACACTAAAGTTTATTTAAGTCCAAAGTCAATAGAGATCTTTTATTGCATCACTGAAATATCAGATTAACTCCAGGACTCTTTCTGTGGCTGAACACGCTCAGATCTTATTCATCAGCCTGCTGAACTGTTYCTTTTTCAGAATCATAAATGGTGTTCATTCTCACAGTAGATGCAGCAAAGAGAATGCAGTGGTCTCCTTCTACTTCAGAAATGGAAAGGACTCTGCACATATAGGGGTCATTATATTTAGTACAGGGAACAATGGAGTTTGGGTTGAGGGACTTCGATTGGGTGGGAAGGGCCTTGAGTAGATAGACCTACCCAGGCAAAGCAGACCTCTGGTGATGAATTTCAGGAACAGGAGACCAGGTGGGCAGAGTTGAGGGAAGGAGTAGCTAAGGGGGTGCTGGGCTGGGTTTGAAGGGTTGCCAAAGCCCTTCCATGAGATAGGTCTTGTTGGAGCAGACAGTGGGTGTTTAGCTTTTGCAGGTGTCTGAGCTAGGGCGATACCTAAAGGATGTGTAGAGATGGCAACAGTGATTCACAGCCTCCTAAGTTGGCTTTAATTGGTAACATTAGGCCTTTTCTTACTCCAATCAAATGGGATCACTCCCCTAGCTTTAAAGCTGTCCTTGACTTCTCTGAGACATGCTTCCTCCTCTGGACACTATGGTGTCCTCTGGCTGGACTGWAACTCTTTGGCAGCAGTTGTACCACACAGTCCTTCCTGGAAACATCCATGGTTTCCAGCTTGAACTTGCTGATTCCCTCAGYCCACAGAGGTCTTTTCCTCCTGTGGCTTCTGGGTTGTGTGCCCCACTTATGGGGCTCTGTTCATGGAAGGCAGTGGTTCTCAGCCCTAGCTGCTTATTGGAATGACCTGAAAATTAGTTTTTAAAGTGTTTCCATGCCCACGTTGTATTTTAGATCAACAGCATTATCAGCTCTGGGGAAGGACCCTGGCATTGGGATGATTTCTAAATTATCCCAGGTAACTTCCATGTGTACAGTGGGTTTTGAGACTTCACAGCTGAGCACTGACAATTAGGCATTCTGCCTTGTGATCACTCCTTCCAGGTATGCACCGTGCACACCTGGGATACATCAGGGAACAGGAAGAAAGCAGTAGGATTTCAGTTTATATTTATTTTAGAAAACATTTTTTTTTAAATTTTTTTACTATTTATTTTTCAGTTTTCGGGGGACACAACATCTTTGTTGGTATGTGGTGCTGAGGATCGAACCCGGGCCGCACGCATGCCAGGCGAGCGTGCTACCGCTTGAGCCACATCCCCAGCCCCTATATTTATTTTAGATCCTATTCTTTTTCAATGTGCAAGCTTTACAGTCGCTAACTGTCCTGGAACAGTAGTTATAATAACAACTGTGGGCAGCCCTTGAGCACTTACTGTGGCTGGGCTCTCATCTAAGCACTTTATGCTAAGAACTTAGCACTTTGCAAAAGCCAGATGAGGTGGGTACTGTTGTTAACTCCACTTTATAGATGAAGGAACTGAGCCCAGAAAGATTGATTACCTGGCCAAGATCACACCACACCACTTAGCAGCCAAGCCAAGCAAGATTCAAATGCAAGTGGATTCCAGTACTCATCTTTTACCCACAATGCCAGTCTGCTTAAATAAATCATATGCAAATAGAACACAGATACTGGGGAGATCTGCACAGCATTTTTTATTAATAAGGTTTCCTAGGGCTGGGGATGTGGCTCAAGCGGTAGCACACTCGCCTGGCATGCGTTGCGGCCCGGGTTCGAGCCTCAGTACCACATACAAAGATGTTATGTCTGCCGAAAACTAAAAAATAAATATTAAAATTCTCTCTCTCTCTCTCTCTCTCTCAAAAAAAAAAAAAAAGGTTTCCTAATCAAATAACTAAACTACAGATGGCAGACTGTGAGTCCTTGAGGCAAGCTTTAAAATCTCACTCTTTGTTCCGTCCACCCAGAGGCTAGCGGGCATGTGGGGTCCAATATATGATCAATAAATATGTGCACACTCCTGGAAATATCAGCTGACTGATAATCATGACTAACATTTATCAACTCTTGCCACATGCCAGGGACATCATACTTAATCTTCACAACAATCCTGTGAGGCTACAATTATATTCAATTTGCAAATTAGACACAGAGCAGCTAAGTAACTTGTCAGGGTCCAAAACTTGAATCCAGATTGTGGCATTTCACAGCTCACTGGGACCCACTGTGAACAGGTCCACAGGGTACGGTTCATGCAGGTGGCTGGGTTCAGAAACATCAGGATGGAGGCAGAAATAGACTATTTACTCCTTCCAGGTGGTTCTTTGGCCAGGCAGGCCCTTCTCTGTATGCTTAACAGGCAAACTCCTACCTGCCCTCAAATTCAGCTATGGTGGCCGACTGTGGTGACCTCCGGGAAGCCTGCTGCAGTTAGCTGCWCTGCCTGGCTGTCCATGCCTTCTCTTTTAGGCGCTCCCTAAAGGCAGGGCTGGGGCTTACTCCAGGGAATCCACGGAGCAGGCTTGGCAAACCTATGGGTGGGCTCGGCCAGTGTCCCCTTCCACCGCGGGTTAGGGACATCCCATTCCCTGGGCTTTTCCTCTGTGGGCGCCATTCCCCTTTTCTCCTCTTCTTCGCCCACCTCCTTCTTCTTCTTCCTCCCAAGTGTCCTTTCCTCAACCTCCCTTCCTCCTCCTCCCTCTGCGCCCAGGGTGGCCCGCCCCCGGCCCGGCTCGGGGCTGCAGTTCTCCCGGCCGCCGACAGAGGGGGCCGCTGCGCAGCCGCGGGCCGCGCCCCTCCAGCGCGCGTTTCCTGTGAGGTCAGGTGGGAGGAAGCGGCCCGGAGCCGCCGAGTGGACGCCGCCGAGGCTCCGCAGCCGCGCACGCAGGTGGGTGTCCGCACTGGGGGAGACGAGGGACCCGGCGCATCCCTCCTGGTCTCCCGGGCCTGGCCTCAGAGCCGGTGTCAGGCCCCGGAGGCCGCGCTCGGCGCCGGGCAGTGTCCCTCCGCCGCTGCAGCCCCCACCCGCCGCGTCGGTGCACCGAGGGCCAGCGCGCCAGGGCCCACCCAGCGGGGGCGGGATGACAAAGCACAAAGAGACAGCCGAGGACCACTACCCGCTTGGCCTTACCCGGGCCAGCAGGCTTCAAAAAGAGGGCCCGCCGGTGCCAGCCTCCSAGGCACGAGAACAGGGCTCTCATCCCCTTTGGGAGGGGGGTGGCCCCGAGTGTTTCTGAGGGTTTAGGTGAAAATTGCGGCTCAGCTGTTCGGCGGGGGGGGGGGGGGGTGGCCTTTGCACAGACTCGGGGAGGGGCGTGGAAGGGGTCCCAGCTCAGGGGCGCCCTTGGGGTCAGCAGAGCGGAGACCTCCCAGGGCCACTGGAGCCTCCAGCTCACCGTTTTGGAAAGGCTGGGCCCGGCCTCCCTTAGCAAAGGAAGGACCGTGTTACCAGACAGGTGAGGGGCAGGTAGGGGGCGTGCCCCTGCGCCGCAGAGGTCTGTCTTTCCCAGCCAGTGCTGGGGCGSTGTAGTGGCCAGTGTGATCGCCATTATGGTCTGTCGCCAGGCAGTGGACCTCAAGTAACCCTGAGTGGCCCAGATCTTTCAGGGGTTCCTGGCTGGAGAAGGCCCAGGTTCTTGGCGTTTGCTCCCAGGGGAGCAGCACCTGGGGCTCATTTTTGAATGGAAGGGGATTTGAGAGCTGGGGGGTCCTGGTACCCTGGACTCTGTTTCCCAAAGAAGACCCTGGCGCGCGGGGTGCTGCTTCATGCGCTCCCTCTGTTTGCTGCCTGGAGATGTAGGCGCCTYCACAGCTGCCCAGATGCCCCTGGGGCGCCACTGTGCAACGGCTGTGCAGTACCTACCACAGGAACACTGTAGGCCTGACAGAGGTCAGCGGGGCTGGCCTTCCAGTCCTAATGCTGCTGCTGGTCCTGGATCATAATAAAAGTCCCTTCTGCAGGAGTCCTTTCCGTGGTTTTCCTAGTGGACTCTGTGTCTGACAGATTTTTGTCCCACAAAAAAATTGTATTTATGACTCCCCCTTTTATTAAGCAGACAGCACCTGCTCAGGGTGGGTGACCAAGTAAGCTCCCCTGGTGCAGCAGTCGGCTCTCAATCATTGGGAAATGTGTTTCCTTCAGGCTCTTTGAGGTCAGGGGAAAAATCATCCACTGGCCCTCAGGATCCTAGTGACAGATCACTAAGGGTTCAGGGCTAGTGGGGAGGAGGGACCTCTGGCCACATGGTTTCTTCCATCAGCCCCCACCCTGGCCATGAATTACAGGTGCCGCCCAGTAGGGACTCACAGCTCCTGGAGGATGGTGCGGATCTTGGCCAATGGGGAAATTGTTCAGGATGATGACCCCCGAGTGAGGACCACTACCTCGCAGAGAGGTAGCTCTCCTCGGCAGGTAGGCACCCATCCCCTGGGGAAGGGGAGCAGCTTGCCTTCTCCCTTGTTACTCCTTAGCTTCCAGAAGTCTCTCTTGCTGGTCATTAGTCTTCTCTAGCCTGAAGCCCTCTTTGGAAAGAGCTGAGCTAGGGAGTGCAGAGGGTCAAGACAGTGGGCAAATGCTGTGGGTTTACTGCCCAGTCCCTGTCTCCCCAGTTCTCTCCCCTCTGGGCGATTTTCTCAGACTTTCCACCCAAGAGCTCTCTCTCCTTTAACCTGGCCAGTGAATCCTGCTGCATTTGGTTTATTTTGAAAGTCTGTTGGATGGGAGAAAACCTGGAGAGTGAGGGGAAGAGTTGAGCCCATGGCCACAGAACTATTTTAAAGAAGGGAGTGCCCAAGAGCCGTGCCCATGCTGAGTAACCCCTGCCTGGTCACTTCTTGTCGTCTCTGTCCTGGGTGCCTTCTCCCTGGGCATTATATTGGGAATCCACACTGGCATTTTCTGTACTCTGAGAGCTTGTGATCCAGTCTATGGGTGGCATCCAGGATTGATAAGGAAGGAAGGAGTGGCCCAGGGTGGCTGTCAAGGAGGGCAGGGCCCAGCCTGGAGTTCCCTCCTGGCTGGTGCCTCAACTCCAGGACAGCTTTCTCTGGATTCATTTGTTTCTCTCTGTCTTCATCTTCCAGGGCTTTCTCAACAGGGGCCATGGTGTCCCCCCTGGGGGGACCGGCCCCCGCCCACAGCAGGCAGGTGCCAGGCTGGGGGCTGCCCAGTCTCCCTTCAATGACCTCAACCGGCAGCTGGTAAACATGGGCTTCCCCCAGTGGCATCTGGGCAACCATGCGGTGGAGCCGGTGACCTCCATCTTGCTGCTTTTCCTGCTCATGATGCTTGGTGTTCGTGGCCTCTTGCTGGTGGGCCTCGTGTACCTGGTGTCCCACCTGAGCCAGCGGTGACCTCGAGGGCTGACGGGGGTCGGTGTGTCGAGAGGGACTTGCTGGGCCTTGGAGTTGGAGCAGGCATGTGGGGAGGGGACCATGGGTTTGGATTGCAGGTATGGTGAGCGGGACCATGGGTCAAGCCGGAGGCAGAGGGAGGYTCTAGTCTAGCATCCCCAAGCCTCGGGCGGCCACCCTGGTTGTCTGGAGATGTTCAGGTGGTCTAGGGCCTCCATCAAGTGACACAAAACCAGAACAAGATGTTCTCTTTCCAATTCTCTTTGATCCTTTCATGCCCAGAAGAAAGTCTTAACTTGGTGCCAGTGTGTTGGAGGCCTCCGGGACACGATCTGCCTTCCCCATTACTGGGGAGCATTACTGGGGTCCAGGGCAGCTGGGAGAAGTTTCCAGACTTTTATAACACTGTTTTGTTTTAATGGTGTATTTTTATTGGCTACCTTTTATTTCTGATGAGGGGTACCGGCATTCTATTTATTGTGACATTTTCAATAAATAGATTTAAGTAAAAATGAGTCCATGTAAAGAAATTTATTACTAATCATGAGCTGCACAGATCTGGAAGGGATGGTAAAGGTGGCTGGGGGCAGCTGGGCTAGGGGTGCGGGGCGGCCGCAGGCTGATGGACCTAGCCTCAGATTCCTCACCCTCAGGATCTACTGTGTCCACTGGGGGAAGACACAGGATGGGGGGCCAGGGCTGGGRGAGGACTGGCGGGAGGTGGACACTGGTTCCACCACTCCTGAGGCCTGCTGTGCTGCCCCCACAGAACCTTCTCCTGCAGGCGCCACATCCCTTGCTGCCCTTAAGGGGGTGGTGGCCTTTATCACAGACATTCCCTGTGAGAGAAGTGGGRAGCTTCACGTCACTGAACAGGTCTCCTTTCTCAAATAATGTTGCCGTGTCTTCATTTCTTGGCAGTGATTGGGACATATGTTCCCTTTGTGATGGGCATGTGGGGTGGTGTCTGGCTTTCACCGTCCACTCTGGGGTCTGGGCAAGGGGAGGYTGGCTTGGCTGGTATCCCAGATGCTTCTTGTGGCATCTCCTGCCCTGGCATGGCCACCTGCCACTCACCTGGACTCGGCTCCAGCTGAGCCAACGGTTGGGCCTATCACGCCAGCTCCGCTCACCCCCAGCTCCCCTCGCCCTGAGCTTGTTTCTTTTCCCCTTTCACAGTGGACTCTCAATATAGAAGCGCCTCAGGGGCTGGGAATCACACTGGGGAGCACGTTCCTCAGGCAGCCTCTGCCCCAGATTCAGACTGGACGGAGGCTCTGGCCTCGGTCTCCTCACTGGAAGGCAGGAGTGGGTGCTTTCTCCTCTCCCCACCCACCTCCCCACCGTGTGCYGGGAACCCCAGCTGGGCTGCCTTGCAGACAGGAACCCCACCCAGAGGGCAGACTTGGGGGGTGGCTTCTGCTCCTCCAGGGCTGAGCCTCCGTGGGACCCATCTTCCTGGTCAGGGAGCTCCTGCTTGTCTGACTTTTGTTTTTTCCTGCCCAACCTCCGAGGAGCCGCTGACCTTCTGGGACCTTTGTGCCACAAGTTTCAAGCCCTCGGTTCTCTAAGTTCTGCCTCTCTCCRGCTGGCCCTGGAGGTGGGGGCCACATTTCCATCTCCCCAGACAGAGGCAGACACCAAGCCTGAGATCATAAGCAACAGTGGCTACARTTTTGCTACATCTTCCAGCTCCCTGTCCCTGGGACCAGAACGTGCCAAAGGTACTAACTGGGACTGGCCCTGTGAGTCCAGGGGAGGCCATGGCATGGTGGCTGGAGCCTCTGCTCGCTGGATGCCTGACCTTGCTGACCTTGACCTCCCATTTCTGTGGCCAAGACAGCCTGTTTGCAGGCCCTGCTCTGCGCTCTGTAGTGCCCAACCTGGCACCCTTCACTCAGCCCCCTGAACGCTGGTTTCCTCGTCACTACCAAGGTTGACACTGTGGTCCTCCTGCCTCTCAGAGCCTTTTAAGAGGTCACCCAAAGCATGGAGGACAGGGCTGTGGAGATGATGACTGCACCAGTCCCTGAGCCTCCTTGCCCCATGGCTCCCAGGCCAGAGGCTTCAGCCCAGAGTGGCCACCGTGTCCTGGGTACTTCGGGAACCCCTGGCTATGGTAGTGCCAGGCTTTTGAGACTGGTGTCACCCTCCCCAGCTGTTGGTGAAGTGCAGCTGCTTCGCTCTGCTCCTGGGAGTTGAGGGGCTTGTTGCAAGTCCCTGGTGTCAGGACGGGRGGATGTCTGTTGATCATGTGCAGTGCCTGACCCCCACCAGTCACTTTATACCATATTGTCTCTCGAGCCTTTCGGAGTCCACCCTCTGGGACATTCCTGTATTTGGCCTCTGGCTATACTCACACCCACCCTACCTGGAACCCAGTTACAGAGGCAGATTGCCAGCCCCCTCTTGCAGGGACCCCAACATCAGCACTGTGAGGCAGAAGGCATGGAGGGAGGTGCAGGGGCGTGGCCTCCATACCGTCCCTGCTCCGCTGCAGTCATGAGGGGGCTGCAGCCCTCTTTCCTGCATTTTTAATTGTGTCACAATCCATGGCAAAGGGTCTGGGAAGGGCTGTACAGGGGTGTGGTCCAGGGCAGGAGGGGAGGGGGACACTGGCAAAGGGCTCTGCTGCCAAAACCAGATGGAGAGCCAACCTGCATCTGTCCGGCGGGCACAGTGCTAGAGAAGCAGCAGGCCTCCTCATGCTGCCACCCAGGCCCCAGAGGAGTGAAGAGAAAGTTCAAGACACAGAGGGTCAAGAGCTCCAGGGGCATTACCAAGGGAGCGGGTGTGGGTGTGGGTGGCRGTGATCCTCTGGTTGGGGCAGGGAGGAGGGCTGAAACCAGATGGCTTTAGGGACCAGAGAGTGGAAGGAAGAAGCAGAAGCTGCTCAAGATGAAGCCTGAGAGCAGCTTCATAGCAATGCCCAAAGCAGCCGGGCAGGGCAGCACAGGGCTGGGGCAGGGACAGCGCACTGGTCTCCACTCACCTTGCTACCCGCTCTGCCCTCTTGGTGTGCAGGGTTCCTATTCCCAGCTCCATCTCTTGTCAACCAGTGACCTCAGGCACGTCCCATCATCTCCCTGGAGCTCCGGGTCCACCTGCCCTCAGGGTGGAAGATCGAGGGTTATCACTCATCAGTTATCACTCTTCAGTTCCAAAGCCACAAAGCAGTGGTCCTAAGACTTAAAAAWTTTTTAAGGCAACTTGCATTATATTTATTTTAAATTCACATTATACATTATTTTATAAAGGAGGCCTCATATCCCTCTGATAAATGCCAAAGCCAGCAAACCCGCCATTTCTAGTAGATATTCACACAAGTAAGTCCGGGGCGGAGAAAACGGCTCTCTCGCATCAGGGTGTCCAAGGTTTAAGCCCGACRCCTGCTTTCTTTGTTTAAAAAGCTTCTTACAAGGACTTTTTAGAAGGGTGTTGAAGGCTCTCTCCTGGATGGGCTCAGGGTACTGGAGAGAAACGAGGGAAGTGACTTTCTTTCTGGGTGACTCGGAGCTGTCTGTGAGCCCCCCTCCTCTTGTTCACCTGCCCAAGCACTCCTCACCCTGTCAGTCCTCACAGCRTCCCCTGAGCTGGGAAGCTCTGCGTGATCCTTGTCAAGCTGTTTAAAACAATTTAGTCTCTTTAAGGCATCTTCATGGACCAGGGATCAGGCCGTGCCTGTGTAGACAGAGAAGAGTCTCCCTCCCTCCAGGTCCCMTGCATCCATCCCCCTCCATCCTGCCACTGCTGTTCTTAGTGTCTTCTAAGTCCTTCTAGAACTCAGTTATTCAAATGTGAGCAAACATGAATCTTCTCATTTTTATCATTTTTTAATACACATCGTAGAATATCAGACACCCTTTTCTGGCCCTTCACTTTTTTTTTTCTCTTGGCAACATGCCCTGGACACATTTTATACTGAGGAGCTTCAGAGTTGCCCCTTGTTTGGTCTCAGCAGTCATCTGTACCATGGGAAGTGTCCCGGTTGACCCCCGAGGGCCTTGGCAGCGTGAGCCCTGGCCACTCCGTGGGTGGATCCTGACAGAAATGCCTTCACTTTTCCAGGGACCAAGGGGGAAGCTCCTGGGATGGTTTAACTTAGTCCCAGGCCCGTCCCCCAGAAACACGTGGGTGCCAGAAGAAGTTGACCAAGGAGTAGCCTTGGAAGTTTCCGCCTGCTGGGTTTTCTGTCCCCATAGCAGTCAGGGTGTGATTTCTGCCCTCACCTGAAAGCTGCCCTCCTGTCATGCTGCACCCCAAAGAGGGCCGGGGACCCTTAACCACACTGACAGCGGTGACCCTCTCCAGGCCAGTTTCTGTTCTGAAAAAACAAGGGCCAGACTAGAGGTTTTCTGCAGGCCCCTTCCTGCTCTAGAATGCAGAGATACTGGCTACTGGCCCAGCCTTGCCTAAAGGAGTGTTTTTGTTTGGGTATCAAGAGATGGAACTCAGGGGCATTTGATCAGTGAGCCACATCCTCAGCCCTATTTTGAATTTTATTTAGAGACAAGGTCTCACTGAGTTGCTTAGTGCCTCCATGTTGCTAAGGCTRGCTTTGAACTCCTTGATCCTCCTGCCTCAGCGTTCCCAGACTCTGGGATTACAGGCGTGCACCACCGTGACCAGATAAAGCCGTGTTTAATAGACTGCTGCGGTCTAGCTGGGCATTGCCAGTGTTACAGTGCCCCTTCCTCCGCCACCCTGATTTTGATGAATATCTGGATTAAAGGAGTTAAGGGAAGACACAAAGAGTGACCCACACAGGTCTTTAGCTGTGAACTGGCTGATAAATAGATTCCCTTGTACACCAAACCAGGAGACCCCAGCCAATTTGGCTTGTGGACCTGAGAGTTTGGAAAGTTAGCCCATGGCRCCACCTGGTGGACTATCTGGGTGGAAGCAGGACGTCCCTCCAGGGGCCATCTCCTCCTCCTGCCCCAGGCAAGAGCTCTTCTCAGCCAGCCTGGGGTTGCCCTGACTTCCTAAGTTCCGTGATAATACTGCTGCAAGATTTCTGGTGGTGAGTGTGAGAAGTTCCACAGTCATCCCTCACTGCGGCCTCGTCTGGGCCGAGCCTCATGCCAGGAATATTCACAGGCTGCATTTCAACTTCTTGCAAACAAATAGATGTCTTTCCCTTTTGATAGATGGACTGAGACTCACATAGATGAGTATAACTTATATATGGTTGCAGAGATGGTGGGCAGCATATTGGGGACCTGCCACACCAGTCCCCAGCAAACCATGAATCTGGGAGCCTTAGGGAYGGGGTGTGGCTGGGGACCCCTGGAGAAGGATCTGTCATGGGTCACTGGGATTGTTCTCAACTGCCTTTTGGTATTTAAGTGTTCAGTTCAGGAGACAGGATGAGAAATGTTAGATTGGGTTATTTTTTAATCTCAGGGTCCCTGGTGTCATATGACCCCTGCAGAGGGTCTTGCTGACTCTTTAAGATGG